CTTGTCGTAATTATAGACTATTTACAGCATCTTACCTTGGCCCTAAGCTGTGGAACGACATTATGGTTTCATATTTTCCAAGAATAGCTGATATATCTGTATCAAAAACCATCGTTAAGAACATCATCCGCGAGCATTTCGTGAACACATATTAACGTAACCAACATATTTGAAGACACTGCCATCCTTGTGCTGTACATATCCAACGCACTTCATATTTGACCTCCTTCATGTTTCATAATCAATTTCTGATATAAAGTCATGTACATATACCCAAATTCACGGCGCTGGCTCCGGGAGTTCTCCCAGCAACAAGCTCTGCTTAGCTGGGTGGACTCCCTGGACATCCAGCTCAAAACCCAGCACAAAAATGACCAGGTAATTGCCCCCTCCGACTTGTGACTGTATAGCCCTTACTAACACGGTGAATTGAGTGGTTGTAGAATACTGGGCGGTTATAGCGGGCTGTCATTAGCTGACTTTGGCTAATGACTACCTTAAGCCTTTTCATCTATGATTTTTCCCTACCTATCACATAACATAATTCCTTCGGGTCTGCTCCACCTCTTCGCCTGTTTTTTTTTTTACGTTTGTTTCATCTTCCTAGCTGGGAGTGCCGCGACTCGATTTCATGTTTTCTGGTGTTAACGTACGGTTTACTGCGTCGCTGGATTGGGGGAGGGGCACTCCTGGTTACCTGTTCTTGAGTAACGGCGTAGAAAAAAAGAAGCTAATTTCGCACTACACACATGTGCCCTCCAATTTAACAAAATTCCCAATGCAAACATGTCGTGGTGCTACATTTCCACCAATTTCCCACCGCAAACATGTCGTTTCCTCCATTTGCACTTATTTACCACTGCAAACACGTGTCCTTCATTTGCACTACTTTCTCAACGCAAACATGTGTCCTTCGATAGCACTAATTTCCCGCCGGAAACATGCGTCCTCCGTTTGCATTCATTTCACAACGCAAACATGTGCCTTCGTTAATACTAATTTCTCACTGCAAACATGCGTCCTTCATTTGTAATAATTTCCCACTGCAAACATGTGTACTTAATTTGCACTAATTTCCCAGCGCAAACATACCGTGTCCTTCGTCAGCACCAATTTCGCGCCGCCAACATATGTCCTTCATTTGTACTCATTTCCCAATGCAAACATGTCGCGTCCTTCATTTGCACTACTTTCACATTGCAGTGTCGTGTCCTTTATTTGCACTACTTTCCCACTGCAAACATGGGCCGGCTACAATCTGCCCATGCATTTGAAAGGAGCATGTTTGACTCCCCACCTACCCATCACCTTTCAGTTCGGGATCTTGTGAGTATATTGTACACCACGTGAACCACCGCATCAGATGTGGTGTTCAGGGGTGTGATGTGATCGGGCACCCGGGATGTGAGCCGATTTTGCTCACATCCCGGCTGCCCGATGGCCCATCAGCACCAACAGGGGTGCAGCAGTCGCTGGCGCTCCACAAAAGGGTGTGAACAAGTGCGGCATGTTCCTTGTAAAAAAGCAAACAACAGAACACCACATCTGCACAAATTCCCGAGCATGTCATTGTTCCGCAGAAATGTCAGCGAAAGTCGTAAGCTCACACAGGGTTAGCTGAAGACAGCTCCATTGTGTCAGTGGGTGTGTTTCATGTCCCCTGCCCTATATCCCCTGCCCCATGTCCCCTGCCCCATGCCTCTTCCCATGGCGATCGCTACAGGACACACCAGTCAGCTTCAGCCGAACAGAAGTAAATATTCCCACAGCTAAAGTGAATGCAAACCTTGGTCTGTCGGTGCCCTGGCCCGCGGCCAGCGTCGGACCCGGCCGCACGAGCTGGGCTGCCCCCGCTACCAGTGTCGGCCAGCGTCGGATCCGGCCGCACGAGCTGGGCAGTGTCCCCGGCCCTACCGCACCAGGCGCCCGCTGCCGGTGTCGGCCAGCGTCGGACCCAGCCGCACGAGCTGGGCAGTGTCCCCGGCCCCTCCGTACCGGGCCATCCCGCTCAGCCCCGCAGCTGGTGGCTAATCGCTCACCCTATCTCTGCAGCCAGACCACACCGGGCCATCGCGCCCGGCGCGATAGCAGACTGTAAATGAAAGCACTTCCCACTAAGCCAGCTGAATATGATAAGAAAACTTCATAGGATAACGAAACTTTCGAAAGGGTGATTTTTACGACGCGGAGAAATTACGTTAACGCTGATGAATTTGATTGGAAACGGCAAGTTTACAGGTGCTTGCTCACCAACCCTCCTAAAATATTCGCAATCCTCGCCCCACTCAAGAGCCGTGGCGCACAAAGCTCCCGATGATGTGAACGCTCCAAATCTCCCAGAGATGCAGCCGTTGCTCTCGCACTCGCAGTTCATCCATTCGCTGCTCCCAGAGCCGATCATCAGCCCGTGATTTACGACACGTCAGACATGAGCCGTGCCGCCGACCTTGCAGCGCCCAGATCCTCCGCTCCGGGCCACCCCGGCCGGCGTGGTGCGGCGTCTGCCGATCTCGCAGCGCCCAGAGCCTCCGCTCCGGGCCATCCCGGCCGGCGTGGTGCGACGCCTGCCGATCTCGCAGCGCCCAGAACCTCCGTCCGCTCCAGGCCGCCACGGCCGGCGTGGTGCGGCGTCTGCCGCGCACTGCACGCCGGGGCGGGCGTCCGGTCCGGCCCGGCCCGGTTCGGCTCGCAGCCCGCGGGAGCCGGGCAGGCGGCAGCGCCGATAAGCATGGCGATGACGCCAACGCAGTCCGTGCACCCCGCGTCGTAACATGACCGAACCCCCGGCACGCAAAAACACAGCTGCTACGACAAATTTACATATAGAGCTGATGGCACTCCGTCCTACGTCTGAAGAGTGTGGAGCGAGTCTGGATAGTGGCGGGCCCCGCCGCAGCAAGCCGGAGCCAAAGCCCCCATCTGGGTCGACTTTTCGCCGCCCGCGCCGGTCCGTAAGCCGCGTCTTAGGCGGCGCTTGGGGCGTCGAGCGGATGTTTTTGCCGGCGCCGCGGGGCTCCAGTATGAATTAATCAATCACGGCACGGCACGGCGGGCGCGGGGGCGGCCTCGTCTGGCGGGCGAGCCGGGCCAGCTATAGGGGCCGACGCCGCCCGCCCACAGGTGAGACGGCGCCGGTCCGGCGAGCTCAGCGCGCGGCGTCGCGCGCCGCGCCTGGCGCTCGCGCCGGTGACAACCCCCCCACGTCCCCCCCCCCCCGGCCGGTCCCGGCAGGGGGTGCCGGCAACTCGCCCGAGACGTAGCTGGAGCCACTGCCGACGGAACGTCATCCAGCACGCGGCTGGTGGGTGGCCGCAAGACAAGTAGGCGGCGGAGCGGGTATTGGGCAGCCGTCACGTTTGGCGTCGCGTGCCTCTCAGCGCCGATCACGGAACCGTACGTCCCGCGAGAGACGGCACAGGTCGCCAGAGGGAGTGCCCCCTCCCCGCCCCTGCCAGCCCAGGCTTCCTCCGTGGCTGGAGTCAAGTCAGCGCCGGGAACTCTGCTGCGCGAGAACCCAGGCTGAACACTCCACACAGCCGCTCCAGCGAGCAAGCACGTACGCACAGGACGGTAAAACGAGCGCTTTGGTGGCCGGGCGACAGCAGAGCATGTGTCTTCAGACGGCAGTCCGCATCGCAGTCGGCACCGCCGTCCGCACCGCAGTTCGCACCGCAGTCCGCGCCGCAGTCCGCACCGCAGTCCGCAGCCAAATGGAGAGCGTCCGAATATGGTAATCCCGGAGCCGAGCAGCGGTCCAATGATGAGGCCCGCCGGCTTCATCAGGGAGAGCACATCTCCATAAACGACCCCCGGTGTTGCATAGATCACAGCAAGATTGTGGAATTTGTGAGCAAAACAAAAACATTGATGTCACTCGGAGGTCGTCCAGGGAGCCATGATTTAGAAGGAGGTTTTGCAAAAATGGTAATAAACGAGTGTACGGCTCAAAAGTAGAGCCTGGTGAATAAGCGTAGCTTCTCGCCGAAGACACTCACGCGAAAACTAGAATTACTACAGCAATCGACTGTGGAGCTGCCCACCATACGACATAAACAACACAGAGACACACACACACACACACACACACACACACACACACACACACAACACAGACACACCACACACACACACACACCACCACACACACACACCACACACCACACACACACACACAGCCACACCCACACACCACACACACACACACACAACACAACCACACACACACTACCCTTCACACACACCACACACCACACACACCACCCACACCCACACACACCACACACACACACACCCCCCCACACACACACCACACACACACCACACACACACACCACACACACACACACACACACACAACACACACAACACACACACACACACACACACACACCTACACACACACACCACACACACACACACACACACACACACAACACACACACACACACACACACACACAACACACCCACACACACACACCCACACACACCAACACACACCCACACACACCCCACAACCACACACACACACACACACAAACACACACACACACACACACACACACACACACACACACACACACACACACACACACACCACACACACACACACACACACACACACACACACCACAACCACACACACAACACACACACACACACACACACACACACACGAGTAACGTCGACGAGTGACGCGTTCATTCAATGTCCGATGCTGCGTATCCCCGTCCCCGGTCCCCAAACCGCCATCCTCCAGTTTACTCCTGTCAGTTTCCATCTCGAAGCTGACGAGGCCATCCGCTGCAGCAGTCCGTCCGTCGGTCAGTTCGGCCCTGCTCACGCACCGCCGCCTCGTCCGGACCCCTGTTGCCCCCTTCCCCAGTACTCCCGAAGCTGACGAGGCCATCCGCCGCAGCAGTCCGTCCGTCGGTCAGTTCGGCCCCGCTCACGCACCGTCGCCTCGTCCGGACCCCTGTCGCCCCCTCCCCCGGTACTCACTCTCTGGCTTGAGCGCTTCGCTGAAGTCGCACCAGTCGCGCTCGGTGGGCAGCTCGGGCAGTCGCTCGGCGGCGCGTGTCGCCCGCTCCACGTTCATGCGGCGCAGCTCGGCCAGCCGGCAAAGGTACTGTTGGCGCACGGCCGCGTTGCGGATGTAGTCGGGCCGGCGCCTCTCCAGCGCCTCCTGCAGACAGCGTCACGGGCGCGTCACGGGCGGCGGCGGCGTAGCCCGCGGCGCGGCTAAGCCAGCGGCTCGGCGCAGTGAGACAACCCCGTCAAACTCGGCCCGCTGCTGCGGCAGCGCCCAGCTCATCCACGCGATGCTGACGCATGGCCGGAATCCATTTCCTTGGCTGTCATATACACTGCTCTGGCCGTGGTCAGTCCGGACGGCCTCCAGCGGAGACAGCTGGACCGGCCGCTGCGGGTCAGTAGTGAGCTGGGCTCGCCGTCTAACCGTCAGCTGATCCCGGAGCTCAGCGACAGCCACCTCATGGCAGGCTGACGATGCGCCGCTCCGCCGCCTTCGAGGTCCGGGCTCGGTCACGGGGCAGCTCAGCGCCACCCGAGGCGCCCAGTCATTAGTCACCAGCGCGTGTCCGCTGGACCAGGACATCAGCAATCAGCGGGCTCGGACTGAGCAGTCACGGTCACAGCGGGCCCGGGCTGAGCAGCCCCGGTCACAACGGACCCGGACTGAGCAGTCACATTCACAACAGGCCCGGACTGAGCAGTCAAGGTCACAACGGACACGGACTGAGCAGTCACAGTCACAACGGACCCGGACTGAGCAGTTACGGTCACAACGGACCCGGACTGAGCAGTCACAGTCACAGCGGACCCGGACAAAGCAGTCACGGTCACAACGGACCCTGACTGAGCAGTCACAGTCACGACAAACCCGGACTGAGCAGCCACGGTCGCAGCGGACTCAGTCCCGGTCTACGCCGGCCCGGGACCAGCTGACGGCGTCAGGAGGGTAGCTCTGTGACCCGGACTGAGCAATCACGGTCACAGTGGACCCAGACTGAGCAGTCACGGTCACAGCGGGCTCGCACAGAGTAGTCCCAGTCACAGTGGACCCGGACTGAGCAGTCCCGGTCGCAACGGACCCGGGCTGAACAGTCTCGGTCATAATGGACCCGCACTGAGCGGTGGACCCGGACTGAAAAGTCCCGGTCGCAACAAACCCGGACTGAACAGCCCCGGTCACAATGGACTCTGACTGAGCGGTGGACCCGGAATGAGCAGTCTCGGTTACAACGGGCCCCGACTGAGCAGTTACAGTCACAACGAACCCGGACTGAACATTCCCGGACACAATGGACCCGGACTAAGCGGTGGACCCGGACTGAGCAGTCCCGGTCACAACGGACCCCGACTGGGCAGTGAGTCACAACGGACTCGGACCGAGCAGTCGCAGTCACAGCGGACCCCGACTGAGCAGCCACGGTCGCAGCGGACTCAGTCCCGGTCTACGCCGGCCCGGGACCAGCTGACGGCGTCAGGAGGGTAGCTCTGTGACCCGGACTGAGCAGCCACGGTCGCAGCGCACTCAGTCCCGGTCCACGCCGGCCCGGGACCAGCTGACGGCGTCAGGAGGGCAGCTCTGTGACAATGTCTGAGCGGCTCGTCTACACACCCCAGCCGCGCACGGCAGCACTTGACGACAGAGCGATGCAGCAGCTTCAGGCCCACAGCGGAAAAATGGACGTCAGCCGGAAAAAAGCAACAGACACCACCACAACACACACGGACAGAGCACCTGTAGAGAACTCGGCACGGGACGCGGGACCTGCCGCCAAACTGCTTGGCCGCAAATCTCCTTACAGCAGCGATAGGAAGAGCCTCCCGAAAGCACAGGACCTGAATATCCCGGCTTATAATTCAGCCTTCGAACAAGTGGCAGATCTACACAAAACCTTTGTCAGCAGTGGAGCAGAAAATAACTGACCCCTATTTCTGGAAAGCCTCTTGCACTCAGCGATGTATTCTTTTGTCAAACCTGAACATAGTGCCCGGTGTGGTGTTAGTGTATAGCATCAGTGTGCTAGCAGATAAGTAGTATGGTACCAGTCCGCTCACTAACAGCTTGCTACAAAGCGGAAGTGTTAGCATGTAGTATATAACATGATCCTTTCGGCAAAAACCCGAAGGACTAACCGATAGATCAATGGACTTCCTGCGGTGAATTGTACAACGGGAAGGACCTTGGATCCACAACGGAGGAAACTTTATCAACATGCTGCACATTGGTTCTATCAGCATGCCGAGCATTCAAAAGGCTCTCCGAGAGCTGTCATCTCTGCTCCCGTGATGGAGTAGTTATTGCACGCTAGATATGCGCATATGCTAAATTTCAGAATGATAACTGGACCGTGCCGCGCATTTTTCGTGTCTGGCCGCTTCTTTTTCGCATTCCCTGCGGCTAGGTACCATTTTTGCCAACCAGAACATTGATAATTTCAGTTTTTCACCGGCTGGATTTGCATCAAATTTCGTTAGATGAGCGCTCTCTTCTAAATCTGTAAACCAGAGTGCACAGTGCAACACTGGTCTTGCCGCGTGGAAAGTGGCGCCAGTTGAATGCGCTCCTATCAGCCAAAGGAAGTCAAACTGGAAAAAAAACAAAAGGAGAGAAGAGTGCAATTTTTCGCGCTTGTCCAATATGGGACGGTCTTTTGCTAGGCCATGTGGGAAAACACGACGCTGTTGTAAAGGACGGCCAGACATGCTCCATGGGCTTAAAAACAGCACATCGATCAGACTGCCCGCTTGATAAGTTTGGCCGTCCGAAATTACTTTTTCGTCACTGATGCAGGCGGCTTCGCGTTTCCTCCATGGTACACCTTTTTGACAACCCTTCATTCTTCGCGTTGCTGAATTCCGGGGACATTCTGGCCTCAATAAGAGCCTATAAGATGGCCCCTATAGGCCGCTAGTAGGCTGCAAACGTGACGATATTACACCATTTTAGACCTAACACTCACGGCGCGGGTGATCCAATTAACAGGTTTAAACGACAATATCACCATGATCGTGCCTTTGTTGGGGGGGGGGGGGGGGGAGGGGACAAGCCATTAGAAATGTATACTTCTAACCGACGGCGGTATCAGATTGCTTGGCGAGTCGAGACAAGTGACGTTCCCCCTGCATGAAGCCGAGGACAGCCGAGGACAGAGTGCAGGAAATTGTGTGACGTCACGACCTAGCGAACGCTTACGCCTTAGGCAGGTCAGATATTTGCCGAATCCGAATTTCGCTTTCATCAGCCAATGTAAGCCTTTTATATCGCAGAAACGTGTTTCAGTAACGGACGAGTGCGCGCGAATCATTTTTAAATTGAAGTTTGCTGGCATTGACAGGCAATTCAGCCGACGAAGTTCCAAGGCCTTGTGACTGGCGGGGCCTGCAGTGCAAAGGGTGGGACAGTAGCGGAGGTTAAGCGGGGTTGCGAGAAGATCACAGCTTTACGGGATGATTGAGACCAGGTGGCCAGACAGCGGCTGGGAAGGTCCGGCAACGGCCGCACAACCAATTGGCAGATGTGTTGTGTGGATAAGAACACACCAGACGAGGAACATAGCCCGAACAACAATTCAAACAACAATTCGACAACAAATTCCATCCGTAATGATAAAACGATTGTAGCTTGTGCAGGTGCTATGGGGAAAGCTGTATACCCCATCGCTTATACCAATTCCCAGTTACAGGGATTCAGGAAGTGCAGCGATCTCACGGCGTGGCAACACCATATTCCACGCGTCCTAGAACAAGAACAGGGTAGGCTTATTTAAAGCACTGAGCCCTTTAAATGCTTCGCATTTGTGAGCCATTAGCACGTTTGGCAGGCACAGAATTCAACCGGTATGGTACCCCACGACTCGGAAAATGTGGACTGGCTGACTTTCAGACATTCAGTCCCAACGTGCCGCATCTACAACTTTAGAAATATTTAAGCGTGACAACTCCATCAGTCTGCGTTCTAGCTGAACCGAACGGTGGCAATGTGCACAAATAGTTCCAAAGCCTGGGCTCTGCCATGAAAGAAATGAGGGTTATGCAAACACATCTGGCGCCGACCGCTTTCCGAGTCATGCCCCACTAGTACCAAGCTATCACTCGGTGCACAATACAGTTTGATGTATGTATTGCCTGCCTGACTCAGCACTCAGATGGGTGCACCGACTCCCCGGCTGACTGTGGAGCCCGACATGCCTGCCCAAACGCCGACGTCTGGTCGAGACTCCGATCACGGGCCGACCCCTTCAAAGCATTCAATCAAAATGGATGACCCCGGGACGAGCATGCCCGCAACAGATCGACAACAGATCCGCCGATGGCGAGTCCGTGCGCCGGTCACGCCTCGCCCGGCCGCCGAGCTCGGTGGAGCCGGGCACCAGGGTGCGGCCCGAGGCGCCGGCCGCGGACGCCCGGCGGACGGCGGGGCTTGGGGCGGCGACGCGGCCGGGCGGGCCCACAGGCTCCGGCGCCCATCAATCACGACGGAAAAACGTCGTCCGGGAAGATTGCGGAGCGGCGTCGACAGGCCGCCCCGAGCCCAACTGCCACTGATCATTTGGAGCAGCACTCGGCCGGCCGATCATCAAACGAAGGCCAAAGCCGGACGGCCATCGGACCACGGCCACGGCCACGGCCGGACGGCCATCGGGCCACGGCCGGACGGCCATCGGACCACGACCTCGGCTGGATCACCGTCACACCACGGCCACGGCTGGACGGCCATCGGACCACGGCCACGGCCGGACGGCCATCGGGCCACGTCCTCGGCTGGATCACCGTCGCACCACGGCCGCGGCCGGCCGGTGATCCGTCCTCTGAGTATGGCCCGAGGCAGTGGCCAATACGGCAGCCGCACCACACCGCTGTTGGCAGGGCCGACCGTGCGACCCACAGTGAAGCAACCAGCCATGCGGTCACGTGTTGCAGTGTTCCTCGACTAGATCGTGTGTCCCGTTGACGGGGATGAAACTGAACGTGACGGGGCCATGCAATGGACTTGCATGTTGTGATGAACAACACTGCTTGACCAAGCTCACAAAACAAAAATAAAGCCACCCAGTGGTTCACACCACCTGAATAGTGGGGGCAAGTTCTCTGAAACAGGTGCCCGGGAAGGATAAGGTGCACAAAGAGTGACGAACGCCTTCTGAACGAGAAGGCCAAGTGAAATTGATGACAGGAAAGCTCACTGCCCTGACTAAAGCCAGGCCGCATGCCTGAAGCGACTCGCTCAACGGGCACTACATGGGAAAAAGCATAAATCAGCCAGCGCATGAAATATTACAAGAACAAGTAACGGTACACGCCCCTGTCAGCACCACACTCTCAGCCTGCTGACACGACAACAGACTCGTCCTGATCGCACCATCGCCCACATAGTCAAATATCACATATGCCGCAACGATGCCATTAGCTTCCTATCACGGGGCACATATCACATTACAGGCAGGAAAAAAATCACTGCTCTCTTCGACACAGCTCTGCCGCTAGGCATCAGCGTGCCGGCCGCGCCCGTGAAGCTGGCACCGCCGCCCGGTGCCGCCTGATCAGCATCTGGGCCGGCACCGGTCACCAGAGGGCATCGGTCATAATCAGGGGAGCCGGGCTCGACCCGCGGGACGGCCGGCGCTGCTCGCACTCGCCGCCGCTGGACGCCCTGGGCGCGAGCAGCGCCAGCCGACCGCGCATGGCAGCGGCGGAGAGCGCGGCTCACACATCGCCCGCATCGCAATAACGGCGGCAGAATCAACAGGCTGGGCTGCCGGCGGCGCCAGCCGACCGGCCCGACGGCCAGCGGGTGGGCGGCCGCCAGCGGTCACCAGCGGCCGCCGCCACCTGGCCGGCCGCCGTCGCCTGGCGCCGACAGTCGATTGGCGGCGCGCTAATCACGTGTCAGCGGCGCCGGCCCGGCCGCGGACACGGCGTCGCCGGCCCCGCGGCTAACGAGAGGCCAGTGGGGCGCGCCGCCGGCGGGGCCCGGCTGGCGGCGCCGCCCGCCGCCGGTCAAAATAGCCGCGTCGCCCGGCCACCCAGGCCGATGCGGTACTCACACAAGCCGCCGAGGCACTTACAGAATTGACTGCCGCGGCCGTCGCCGGTCGCGCGCTAAGAGGTGCCCTAATGAAATCACCGCCGGCCAAGCGGGCCTCTTAGATCGCGGCCGTCGGCGACGCCGGCCGAGCGCAGCCCGACGTCGCCGTCGACCCGTGACCAGCGGCGGAGCTGCTCAAAGCCGTCGCCGGACCGCGACCGTTCCGCCGCGGCCGGGGCCGGGGCCGGGGCCGGGGTCGGGCGCCGCGCTCGCCGCGCCGACGCCAGCGCCGCCCGGATGCAGGCGACACCTGCATCTGGTGAAGACGAGCGGGCGCGGCGGACGGATCCGATTGGAAGACTAACGAGCTCCCGCCAGCGACCACTAATGCCGGGTTGGTCGGCGGCGGGGCGAGTACGCGTCGGGGGCCCGCTGCAGCGAGCGGACACCGCGCCGGGGATCAGATAGAGATGACGGCTGTGACAGGCCGCGCCATCCACCACCTCCCAGATCGACGGCACAAATACGAATCAGACAACAAGCCCGTTTACAGAGCACCGACGGTGTCCACGATCGGTTCCACGGGGAGCCTTCACAGGCCCGTCTGCCCACTCCGACCCATCTGCCGCCCCCACCCGGGGCGCGGCTGAGAGGGCCAATACGGCCGGGCGGCGGAGCGTCCCCGAGGGGCGGCGGCCACCATTAATGGAGTCGCCGCCCGGCCGGCCCGATCAACATCGATCTCAATATCGGCCGCCGAGCCGGGGCCTGCCGGCGCACAAATTCGCGAGGCGATGCCATCGGGCGCCGACGGCCGACGACTGGACGTGACGCACCAACCTGCCGCCACCTCCAGTCGTCACAACAGTGGCCGGAGAGCGCGGCCGGGCCCGAGGCGCCGCCGCCGCTGCAGCTGATCCGAGGAGGATCTCCGCTGGAGCCGCCAGGCGGCAAGATCGGCCGCGGCCGTAACGGTGCCGCCCGCGGCACAGGCTCTCGGCTCCCAGCAGATGGCGATGTCAGGTAGACAACGTGCCCACCAGACAGCTGCTCCCAGCAGAGTGAGATTCCAGCAGCGACCGCTGCTCTCGGCAGGCAGGGGGCTCACAACGGACGGCGCCACTAGCACAGAAGGACCCCAGCGGACAGAGGCTCCCGAGAGACAGGGACCCCAGCACACAGCGGCTCACAACGCTCGCGGCAGCCAGAGGCCCTAGACAAGCAAGACCCCCGCATACAGCAGCTCCTAGCAGACAGAGGCTCCTACAGACAGACTCCCGCAGACACAGCCTCTCAACAGACGAGGCCCCTTGCGGACAGGGGCTCTCACCACACAGAGTCGCCCAACAGACAAAGTCCCACAGCAGACAGAGGTTCTCAGCAGACAGAGTCTCAGCGGCCCGGCTCGGGCAACAGCGGCGGAGCGCCAGGGGAGCGGAACTGACACCCTCGTATCGTGAATGAGATCGGTGCCGGCGGGGGAGGCGAGGCGACAGCGTGACTAACTCCGGCTGTCCCCGGGCGTCCGCGGCAGGAAATCAGTGCTCCGACCGCTCCCGAAGGACAGCACAAGCTGCCTCTGGCGGTGGCTTGCCCGGGAGATGTACACACGCACGGCCAAGCCGTGGCTGATGGTGACCGTGCCATTGATTGCGGGTTTCACCTGCTTTCGTGTGGTCTACATGTCTAACATGCCCTCGTTTGCTCTATTTATGGATAGTGTTCTGGTTCTCATAATACAAATGTGGAGTGTTTACAGTAATTTTGGGCTTGCAACCGGAAATTGGTAGGCGTGAGAAAACTTGTGACGGCGTGAAGTTAGATAGTGCCCCGCCCTCAGCGGTAACCGGGGGAGGGGGGGGGGAGGGAGGGGGAGGCACGTCAGGCCACCTCACTGTGACATCTGTGCCTACCCCGGCGCCACATTGGCGCCGGCCGCGCCGAACGACGGCGGCGAGGGAGCCTGACCTGGAGCGTGATGCACTCGGCGGCGGACGGCCGGCCGGCGCGGCGCCGCTGCGTCAGCGTGGCGCGCCGGCCCTCCTCGCATAGCTGTTCGTCGCGCTCGTGCTGGCACTCAGAGCCGCTGTCGGCCGCGGCGTCGGCGCTGGTGGCGCAACCCCGCTGCCGCAGCAGCTCCTGGCTGAGCCGGACGGCCGGCAGCACGCGGCGGCAGGCCGGCGCGCCCTCCGACTCAGAGCTGGACGCGCACAGCGGCTCGTTGCGCACCGCCAGGAAGTACGCGATGGAGCGGCGAGCGGTGGGCGGCGCCGGCGGGTGGTGGATCACCAGCGAGTCGTCAGAGTGCACCTGAGGACAGCCAGCGACGTCAGCCGCGTGCCCCCTCACGGCCGATATGAGCCAACAGCACATCCAAAACGAGAGCAGCTTAAATACAAGGGTGGCACAGCATACAGACCCTGATCGGACTGGCAGTGCTGTCACTATCGCTGTACAAAATGCGATTTCGATCCCTAAAACAGAAACAGCCATATTACGGCCATCACAGCACATCAAGGCACTGCATTATCAATTTTGAAATCCATATCATGCTAGGGTAAGCAGCGGTGTGTTAGCACTAACGTAATGTCATCATTACGCATCGGCTCAGTGACATTGCCTTTTTGCCGCCTCATACATCAACGCAGACGTGAGTCCCGGATGTGGAGTGTCTCAAAATCGTGCTGTGTAAGTTGCCAGGATTTTAAGTGTAAGCTGTTAGATCAGGACTTGTTCTTGCAGTATTACAAGACCATCCTACTACTGCTTCCCCGTTGAGCTAATACGGTAAAGGCAACTTTACGACACGCAAAAGGACTGAAAACCACGGGTCGAAACCAGGTCCAGACTTCGATGGCCGAGCATCGCGGCCACATGACACCAGCAGATCGTGGCCGAAGAGAAAATGGCCTAAGGAATAGACAAAGTAAAACTACAGACGGCCACGCCCTCCGGTGTGCCAACCCGGCATCCATCCGTGCCGGGGGGAGGGGGGAGGGGGCTTGTGCGGGCTGACGTCACGTCTCAGCAACCGGAGCGCAGATAAAGACGGGAAACAAACTGCGTAGTGATGGCGAATATGCCGGATAAAGCTCCCTAGCTGATCTCGACAATGTCTGAACCCTAGGTACGCTAATAACCGACCGGAAGACGGCCAGGGTCACCAGCCCCGAAACCGGTCTCAAGTGCAAGTCACTGCGGCCTAAACCGCGATATGTTGTACCAAAACTGCACCGGCGTGTCGCGCTGTCCACGGTGATAACCAATCCACCTAAAATATCAGCTTTGATGAAAAATGGCTTGACCACAGTTGCAGAAATAGTGAATCGTTGCGACTCCATCGCCTATGCCGACATCACCAACCTTGCGCAGCCTCACAGCCAGACGCTTTCTCAGGCAGATTATCGTACGTGAGTGTCTCACGAGCAGGCCTCCGCCTAACAAATTATCTTGGAAAGCTGACTTTCCAACGCGTTGATGAACGCTGCTGACAGCGGTCGCCGAGCGTCTGGCTCATTAGATTGATGTTCTGGCGTGATATACTTACAGTCTGGCACTTCTCACGACTGTTATCGCTTCGTAGGTTCCCAGCCGCCAAAGCATCCCACAGCTAATATGCCTGACTGGCCTACGCATTGAGGTAATACACGCATAACTGGCCTGTATGAGCAGTATGGCGATACAGATGCCGTGTCTATGCGCTGCGGTAATACACCTGCCGTGTCTGTGCGGTGTTGTAATACGGCTGCCATGTCTGTGCGGCGTGGCCATACGGCTGCCGCCTCCGTGCGGTGTGGTAATATGGCTGTCGTGTCTGTGCGGTGCCATAACGCTCGCACGCTGCTCCGCCGGCGCCGCGTGTGGGGCTGACCTGTCTGCGGATGGTGGCGGTGCGGCAGCGGTATGTGTCGGCCCCGAGGTGGGACCTGGGTGCCGACAGAGCGCAACTCCTCGCTCGACGAGTCGGTGCCGGCCGGTCGCGGCGAGGCCGGGCAGCTAGGGAACAGCTGGCAGAAGTCGGCGCGGCGCTGCGCCTCGCGCAGCTCGCCAACCCGCAGCGGCTCGTGCAGCAGGCGGGCGGCACGCGCTGCGTCCGGCGAGCGGGCCGGCCGCACCTCCGCCGGCTCCGAGCGGCTCCCTGTCGGCGTCTGGCTGTCGGAGCGCGTCCGGCTGTCGGAGCGCGTCCGGCCGTCCGACCGGCTGGACGAGGCCGCCGACGAGCCGCCATCTGCAACGACACGGAGGGTGTCAGTCATCAGCAGGAGCAGCACGCAGGCCGGCCCGGCGTCAGCAGGAGGACGCAGACATCGAGAGCGTCGGCGGGCGCGCTGGTACACAGCCGACTTCCCGTGGACGCGTGCCCGGCGTAGTGCTGACGGCAGGACTGGTTCATCGTCACAGCGGAACGACATGCGAGCCTGTTTTGCAGGTCTGGCGTGTGATCTATGAAAAAATAGACTACGCTGACGAGCGCGCACAATGGGACACCGGGGCGGCTAAAAACCTTCGCAATGTCGACGAAGCATCAAGCTGGCGGGGAACCTGCCAGAATCCTTCACACTGTGCGCGAGTCCTGCGGTTGAATGTCGAGGGCCAACGACGGCAGACCTGACAAACCCGTGGATTGGAGCCGATACATCTCTTCCAGGCAGCATTCTAGTGGCGGCCTGCCGCCTGATTCCCACGGGCAAATCATCGCTCGCGAAGGAGGGGGCGGGCGGGCCGGAGAGGAGACCACGCGGAGCCGGCCGCTGCTGACCAGCGGCCTCCGAACAATGCCTCACAGTCGCTGATGTAGAAGTCTGCCTGGGGAAGTCGCTATTCATGGCAATCGACGCAGCTATTTCCTTTGTTGTACGACAGCGGGCTTGGACGGATCCCGATACATCATTGATTGACTATTGCGTCCGCCCACGCATACTTTATGTTCCCGGCCGCCATTGTGAAATTACACAATTCCACGATAGATCTCGAAGTGACGCAGCGAGCTGAGGTGGCAATAACTCAGGAAACCACTCAGCCGTTTGCATTTGGATTTGATCCGACAGGAAATCATGCATGAGGTCAGCGCTCGCATCGGCAGTGTTCCCCAGCGCATATTGGGCCGCAAAATACGCTATTGTCGCGGTATTTTAAACACGCTCAGTGCTCACGGTCTCGATTCACGTGATGAGATAGAGCGATGAAGCCATCACAATCGCACTGATCGGAAATCGTAATTCGCCACTGAGAAATGGCTCTGGGAAAGGTTAACCAAACGATGTAATAATTGGTCCAAGCAACTTGCTTGGCAAACTGCCATTTCCGGTCATTTTGTCCACTTTGCGCACACAGGAAGATATCGCACGCCTTTGGGCACGGACGACCTCATGACAGACTTGCATCCCAGGTAGCCATGTGCCAACCCAAACCGAGACAATCAGCCAGCTTGAGCTGCACCCGCGCAGCCGCAGGCGAATCGACTCCGCGTTAACCTAACTGGCGAGGCCATCACAGGTAGCCATGTGCCAACCCGCACCAAGACAATCAGCCGGCTTGAGCTACACCTGCGCAGCTGCAGGCGAATCGACCCCGCGTTAACCTAACTGGCGAGGCAGATGAATAACCGAGTATGACACCATGAGTCAGACGCCAGGCGCACGCCACGCACGCCACAATCCGATTCACTCAGTGTCCAAGCACGACCTTCAGGCAAAGCAAATACATCTTGCAACCATCATATAACACGCTATTATATCAGGATGGTGATGGAACTAATTTCATGCATGCAGTTTCTGGAACACTTTTCGGGAAACAGAGCAGAGACGAAGGCGGCAATAGCAATGGCAAATCACCCGAATGTTTCAGGAGACTTCAGCCAGCCCCCCACCCCCACCCCCTCTACGGCAAAGCAGGTAGAATAAAATACATGTGTTTAATATAATAAAAGACGTGACCTCCCGCTTGCCAACAGACAACGGGTTGCATGTTAGGCACGTTGCTACCAAAGCAAAGCTGGCTGGCGCCCTCCTACCAAAGTGCCTTAGCAACCCCAGAAATCGTTTCGTCTTCCTCCTAGCGCCCCAAGAATTTTTTTCGGGGACACGGGAACCTGGCGTCGCGGTCCTAACACCATACTCTGCTGCGAGACACGTCAGGTCATCACACTCTGCTGCGAGACAGGTCAGGTCATCACACTCTGCTGCGAGACAGGTCAGGTCATCACACCTGCCCACATCCACCACTGATCCGCCCGCTCGTCAGCCGGCGGCCAGCACGACCGCACCCAGCACTCCCTGGGCTCTGGCGGTGACATACTGCACGTGCGACTGCCGGCCGGTGCAGCGGCGTACCTGGGGGCTTCCCGGAAAGTGGTCATGGCGACGGCTTACCTGCCGCTGCGGACGAATAACATGGCATTATGGCCGAGCCCGCTCGTAAATGCCGATCAGGGCTGTCACGACCGGCAGAAATATAGTGAACGGAGTGGCGCCAGGTCGGAGCGCGAACGGTAACGAGACGGCGCGCCACGACCCCGCTCCCAGCGGCGGCCGGCCAGACGGCGGCCCGCCCCGCCGGCCGCGGCCGGCACCCGTCCGCCTCACCGGCCGCCCTGGGCGCGTCAATCCAGCCCGCCTCCACGAGGGCGTGTCAGCCACGACGCCCGGTGCCGCCGCCGTCTAGACACTCAGTCCGTCAAACTTGTCAGACGCCGTGAGGATCACCAGCCTCGCCGGCCACCGGGGATGGAGGTCTTCTGTCGGGCTCAGCAGCCATGAGAGCCTGTGAGACCTTGCTCGCAGCCATGAGAGCCTGTGAGGCCCGGTCAGCCGTCGTGAGGCCCGTGAGACCGCGCCAGCCCACATGAGGCCGTGCGGCAGCCGAGTGAAAAGTCCCGTTGCCGATACGTCTTGGTTGCGTCCGGACAGGTGAGTGTCGATACCGCCCGATATAGCCCGAGGCATGGGAGGGCCTGGGAGGGCGGGGCCAGCTTCCGACGGAGCTGCTCACGGGGTC